CAGCATATGACTATACAAGACATTAAGGGGCCTCTTTTGATGCAACAAGGGACAAAATGTGTCCAAGCTGGAATAAAGCTCTTTGATTTTTGAGGCCTTTATAATGTTATGAAAAATATATTTTCAAGTATTATTATTATTTTTTTTTAAAGAGGTAAAGGGCTGATAAAACAGTTTTCCAGTGTACATGTAAATGCATACAATTTCCCTGTGTGGAGTTGATGTCCCCACCCCCCACAGAAAGGTGATGACCTCTAATCCTTCCTTCCATCCTTCCTGTTCATCTCCTCCTCTGCTGCTTTTCTTTCTCCACTGTGAGGGACTTTTCCTGTCATTTCTATATGGAGTGTTCACTGAAGACCCCCCCAACCCCCTCCAGTCACACAGAAATCCACTTTTCCAGGTTCTCGTCTGCCTCTAAAAGAAATGGTCTTTATATTTTTCCGATATATAGGTAGATAGCTGATTTATCTGGGCTGCCATCATGATGTAGAGAGCAGGGGTATGTGCATGTGTTTTTGTGGTAAGAAATGTCAACGTGTTCAATAATAAACACAAACTTTTACCTTATTTATTTCTCAAAAGACTAACTTTAAATAGGTTGTTGTTCTATAAACCTCTTCATCCATCCTTTTCTTATCCAGTATGAGGAAATGATCAAGATCATTGATAGAATATTAATAATCTAGAAATTAGTGAAATTATTTGGTCTGCTATGGTCAGGGTATGAGCAAAACTTCTCAAAAATGGCATTTTCTTCAGAGCTACACCGATGCACCATTTTAAATCAAATTGTCAAGCTAATGTCGCTATGCTTACCTGGAGCAGACAAAGATGCTGATGCCGCTGCCTCACTTGCATCTTCATTGTCGCTGTTGTCATATCCAACTGTTCCAACACTTCTTCCACGTTGCTGGTTGCAGACAAGTCACCCATGGATACAGGCATGCTAAGATCAGGAACAGTGCTAAATTCAGGAGCTGCCGCCATAGACTTAAAGCTTTGGAAAGCAATGCACTTTTCAGCTTTGATAAAACCCTTTGGCTTAACCAGGTGCTTCCTCGGGTTAGAAGTACATATTCCCTCTTATAGCCTTTGTACTTAATAACGCAAATATTGCATCAAGGGTAACCTTTATCACACTTTGAAAACATGCTTTAACTTAGCCATGCTTACTTTTTGACCTGTAATTATTAGAAACTGAATCAGTACTGTTAGGTTTATTCTTTTATACATGATGTGCATTGTTACTTTATTAGCCAGATTAGAGAGAGTAGATGGCCTTCCTTCACATTGTGGATGTCACTGTGTGTAAGGAGGTCATCTAAATAGGACAGCCTTCTTGTCTTTTAAAGATACACAGGATATGGGCACATCTTGGAGCCGGTCTGATAAAGGGAAGCTATCTGTAATTCTTGGGCATAGAGGCAAGATGCATACAGCTCAGGGCATGGATGGCGTGTCAGTTTCTGATACGGACAGCTAAACATCCACATGATCCAACACAGAGACTCATGAGCTATAAGAAGGAGAACATGACCTTGTTCGGGGCTCAATCTTTGCCGGACGCTCGCTGACGTTTTTTGAGCCCACAGCTGTGCAAGCTCCAAGCATTTTCTCTGTCCTGTAACGACTTGATCTGGAATAAACTCTGTTACTTTTTTACTCCGGTTTTTATAGTCCTTTTTATATGGTTTTACCCAGTTTAAGTTAAGCTTAGTAAATAACTTGCTCCCAGGAAAAGAACCGGAAGGGAAGTCCCGAGGCGCAACTGCCTCCAAGGGGACATACCTTCCTCATTTAACAGTACGTAATTCTAAACGCTGATACCGATATTGGGGGCTTTAAAAACAATATCCAACATTGGCCGATATAAATTTATAGTATTAACAAGACAAGGTGAATATTGATATACACAGGATATACACTGTCCCACTGAAGTTCTACTCAAATTCTCATAATAATCAAAAATATGAATAGATTTATATATTCAAGACAAAGAAACACTATAGAATTAAAGTAAACAACTTTAATCTGAACAGTGTCAACATTTTTTTTGATGTTGCTTAAAATTTGTGTTGTTTTTTGCTTTACTGGGGCAGGAGACCTGACCAGTGTTGCGCATAAAGACTTGGAGACATGTTTCGCTTCCCATCCAGGAAGCTTTCTCATTTCAAAATGTCTGGTTTTAAAAATTACAAACAGTTAAAGCAAAATGCCATTAAAGATAAA